ACCAAATGTTGACGGACGGACAGACGGACGGACGATGACCCATGGCAATAGCTCAATTTGACGATGTTAAGGTGAGCTAAAAATGAATTCAGTATGTAATTGTATATGTTGTGCTTGTTAGAACTTATTACTATCAATTAATAATGAGTTATGTTAGTGTGAATGTCACTGAATGTATAAAAGGTTATGTATGTGTTATTTGTAGTGCTGCATGGAATAAATGATTTAAATGATATAAAAACACAACAGCAATTATTTGCAGTACATAATTTATGTTATTTTAATGTCAAGATCCAAAATACCATTGCTGCACATTTGCGTGGCTTAGAAATTACTTAAAGATCTTCCCTTGGTTAAACTTCTTGCCATCAAAATCTCCTTCCCATGCGAAGTACTCGTCAACCATTTTCTTTGTCTCCGGGCTGTCAGCATCAAGTTTCTTCCATGTGTAGGACTCGTAGTCACTCTGCCAGTCCGGACTTAGCTGTTAGTACAAGAAAAGATGTTCAACTTTTTACTTAGAAACCTAAGGAAAAACATCTAGCTCGCTGGTAAAAAATAATTTCAAATAAATTGCTACCCAAGCTTAGACATAAAATTTTAATCGAAGTTAAGTTGGTTGGCCAATACTTACAGTAAAGGCAAGGTCCTGGCCTTGCCACACCCATACAGCAGCAATGGTGCTTTTCTTGTCTTCTCCAAAGAGAACAACACTACCAAATGCACCCTTCCTCATCTTCTCTAACCTCTGGAACATTCCTGCAATGAGTTACAAGAAACAGTTGTGTATTATTACACCATTGTTTTAATATAGGATCAACATTACATTAAAAAACACGTGCATTAAATTACCAAAAACTGTAATAGCAAGAAATTCCAGGTGAAACTAGTTTATTTGAGAACATTTTTATGAGTTTCCTTAAAGCTTTAAAACCTCCACTGTTAATATAATATCTTGCAGCAAAATGATATATTGGTTTTAATGACATTTTGCTAGTACCTGCCACAACATCACTATTTCACGCACTCACCATTTATGAGGTTGCAGCTCATGTAAATCATCGTGAGATCCTCAGGGTACTTATACTCTCCATACCAGATTGAGTTGGCTTCTTTATCAAAGTGCTCCCAAAACCAAGGAATAGATTCTGATGTCTCATTGTTTGAGTACATCCTCTTGAATTCATCATATACAAACGAGCTGAATGAGAAAAAATATAATGGCTTTTCATAAATTAATAAAACTTATTTTCTATTATTCCATAAATTTTTACTGAAAATTATTTATTTAGCACTTTACTAAATTTTAACCTCCCCAACTACATCAACAGATAGGGCCTATAATTAGTATATACTTTTAATGCACCCATAGTAACAACTCATTTCTGAATAGTGTGAATATTGGCAATTATTGGCATTTACTTTCTAGTTGCACTCTTAACACTCATGCACTGTATTCAGTTTTACTCACTAATTTTAACTAATTAACACAACAAATTTATGTATATTTTCCCCAACCAAATAATTTAGACATTTTGTCATTTCCAGTGCAATATATATTTAAATGTTAATATCATTACTTGCACGGCTTACTTTAGATAAGTTCCTGTTTTAGCCAATTGCTTATTCATTACAAAAATCTGTGGCATCACCATGACAGCATGTGGATTTTTGTTACCTACAACCCTAGTGCTTATAATGCTAATGTTAATACTAATGGGAATGGTAATTGTAATTATAATTATATGCATTTATCTGCTACCAGTTGGTATGAAGCGATTCATATTCCTGCCTGTATTGTTGACGGATGGAGAGACAGATACTACTATCCTCCTAAAATCTTACTACTTCACAAAATCCATTTAATCACGGACAATTTCTAAATGGATTGGTGAAATGGAACACTACATTAGCTGCACATATAAGACTTGTATCATTACATAGGGCATACACACAATGTTCATTCTCACTACCTCTTAGGACAGGCTGCAAATGGATCCTTCGGTTTAGGTTCCTTTGCTAATGCTTCCTCTGATGCATCAGGTTCCTCCTGTTCTGCTGCTTTTGCTGGCTGTAAAGGAAAAATAGGTTTCACAGTTTTTTTTATCACTCCAGTTCTAGGAAACGCATCATACCAATTATATAACATATTCAGGTTGGCAGTTTGAATAAGTATTGATCTTTCTTTGCTGAAACATGACTAAACACGGATAACAACAATAGGATGCAAGGATGTAAAAACTGTAAACTTCCCAGTTGAACTTCTAAATATATGATAAACAAACAGGGTGTCAACCTCTGACATTCACAATGCCTTAAAAATAAGAAACAATGTGACTTATTGCTGAAAATAAATTCAGAACATCTTTTAAAAATATGTGACAATTTACATACTTAATAATTTTTCTAATGATACCATCAAATACCATTCAGAGAATAACCATGCTATATAAATGTGCGAAACAACAATACACTATTTCATTCTATCACTAACTTCATCACCTTGAACGAGAAATTTTCTTATAGAACAAGTTAAAAATGAAATCACTAATAAAACAGTGTTTTGCTAGGGCTTAAGGGGTGCAATATGATGCATTCTGATGTACTACAATATTTGTCCAAATACTTCAAAAAATTCTACGGGTGTTGCATGCAGGGAAATGTTTACCATAATTTAAAAAAATGGGCTAGGAGCTCTGCAAACTGCATACAGTGCACCTTCGTACACTCAGGATACCACTGCCACAATGCTAGCACTATTTTTAAAGTGGCCGGAGCTCCGGGGAAATCCAGCGAATAGAGATTCGTAAACAGCATATGATTTGAAAGTAGTAAATGGGCGCACAATACGCGCACTATTTCATCAAATTTTTCATAAAATAATGGTTGGATTTTTAATATCTTTGCAACTTTTATTAGTCCAAATCTTATTACATAAGATACGAGTAACGTGGCTGCTGTAAAACTTGTAGTAAAAAAGCGTTACAAATTGTAACAGAAATCTGCTTGTGGCAGTGGTAAATCGAGCCCATGAGCGAGAGCGCCCTCTATCGTGGAGTTTAGGAGCTCTGCATAATTCAATAACCTACTCAGAAATCTTGACCGATACTCAAACCGATATCTACTACAACTATAACACAGCACACTCATTACCGAGTTTGTCACACTCAAAAGGTGTGTCATGACTACTCAATATAAAGAATAGAGTAGAAATGAAACTTTGAACAGACAGAGATAACCATGCATGACTAAATGCTATTTATATATACTACACATGCCACCAATACCTTTAATTTTTCTTTTTTGTCCTTTTTTAGCTTGTTTGCACAATAAAGCAATGAATATGCACTTAAAATTAATTTCTTGAATCTTGAACTTCTAAATAGTATTTCTATCAATATCACACCAAAGAATTGTATTCGAAATTTATGCTAAAACTTGGATCTTTTTTCCCCATGTATATTGTGCAGCATACCATATGATCTCATTAGTTGCTATAGTTATGTGTTATTTCAAATGAACAAACCAGAATTGCCCAATTATCAAATTGCTGGTCTACAGAAGTTATACTATTTTGCGAATAAAAACATTTTAAACTACCTTCTTCTCTTGTTTTTTCTCCTGTTTCGGTTTCTCTTCCTTCTTCTTCCCATGAAGTTCCTGGTACTTCTTAGCTAGAGGAATAGAAAAACATCTTAAAGGAATACTTGACCTTAGGTTCTAGGGTTATTTTCAGTTGATTTAGGTTAAAATTACATTACAATAAAAATTCCACGGTTCAATCACCATTAGAAATATTTTTTTTTAATGTTTTAAAACTAACGACTACAGTTTGAATTACAACGATGGTGGCGCCACTCAAAGCCGCACTATCTAAAAGTTGCGCAAAAGGACTTTTCAGCCAAGCGCTACAGACCGAGGGTGTTTCATATTTATTAATTTAAAAGCAGAAGGATTGCTGATATCTTATATAGTTTCAGTTATTAATATGAATAATTTGTCCTAAATAAAATATCGTCGGTTATATAGCATTTAGGTATAAATATAATTGTACTTTGTGATTAGCCCTCGGTCTGTAACGTGCAAAATAAATTATCAATGACCGCAACTTTCTCAGGGTGGCAGCACGGTCGCGGGCAGGGCTCGAATTAAGCGACGAGAAGGAGCAGGCAATTTTTTTTAGGGCCATGTGAGAAATCGCCTTGAACTTATCTCTAAAATGGACGCACAGAGCAATTTTAAAGGACCAGGCACTCTCAAAAGTATGAGAAGGCGCACCAAGGGCCCCACTTGTTGGTTAAAATAAAGGAAACTCATACACAAATCATTACATTCAACTCGTCTTGCTTGTAATGTACAAAACACATATGCCCATGTAAGCTTTACATCCGTAACACGACCCCTGTACCCCCGCCTCTGCTAATGAAGTACAGTAACAAAATGTTACATGCGCTATCAGGAGCGAATAATTATCCGATGCGTTAGTTATTCCCTCCTCCTATCGGTTTTAGCCTCAATCATTCGCAACTACTAGCACGCACGCGACCACGTAGTTATGTGACATCGATAAAAACGAAACTAGGGCAGTAGAATTAAAGGGCACCCGACGGCAATTACACAGCAGGGCAAGGCAGGTGACTGCCGTCGGTCGGGTTGGATTTTCAGGGGCAGTACGGCGATTGATAGGGGCACCGACAGCAATTGCCGTCGGTGCCGTCGGTTAATTCGAGCCCTGGTCGCGGGTGTCATGTCAGCGCCAAAAAATGAAGATTTCGAAATTCAATGTTGTTTTATGACAAACGTGAATGCGTAATTATAGATATTTATAGGTATGGGCTATTATTTATAAATCTACTATCATAATATACTCTCAAATTCTAGAGTAATGTATTCCCCTAAAGATTTGATTTACCTAAAATGAAAAAAAATGTCAAATAAAAATATCCCACAATATTATGTTAGATAATTGTGCAAAAAATACAAGCAACTTCAGGATAGCATTAAGTGTACAATTACTAACAACTACTCCACAATCAGTAAGTAAAACCAGTTTGAAAATACTTACCGTCAAACTGCGCAGCCTTCTGGCACAACTCGAAGTCTCCAATTACAGTCTTGAACTGAGGCTGGTGTAGCAGTGTGAGGAACCAACGGTTGACATTGCCAAACACAGCCCTGAATGCAGGATCAAGTACATAGCGGTAGAGTAGTAGTAGATCACAGGCAACGGATATGTCAGCTTGAGAAATACGCTCCCCAACAAGGAAAGTGCGTGTCTTAAGATGTCCATCTAGCACACCAAGGGCCTTCTTCACATGTCCTTTGGCTTCTTCTGTTGCCTGAAAGGAAGAATAACACCACCGATTATAACCACATGACCATTAAACCCCCTACACAAACGTAGGGAGCCCAGTACGTATATACCAATAATTCCTTAACCAAACATTATGCCACTCTCAACTCTTCACGTGGATATATAATATACACTTCCTAGAAACACACAAGTTACATGCAAGGTAGTAAAAGCAATGACAAGAAACAATCAATTCTGCACTTGTTTAATTTTGATTTACTTTCAATTATTATTCATTACTATTAATCGGCATAAATTGACATAATACGTTGAACAAACATTAATTTAGATCAAGACAAGAATTCAGAAAGATGAAGTGGTATTATCCTGTATAGTAGCTATACCTTGAGATTTAATACATGCCAACTGTCTTAATAAACTTCTACTGCAGTATTTAGTATACATAAGCTTACTTGTTTGTTAAATTGAATGACACCTAGACATGGAAACACCCACGTGGCTGCAGAAGGGTAGATTTCATTGTTTCCAAATTCTACCCACTGGCAGATTTTAGCCGCATCTGCTCCTGTGGTACCCCGCAACGTAGCATTACCAACTGAAAATATAGGCAAATGCTAAAAGATATAGAACGAGACCATTACAACAGAAAAAGACAGCTTATACATCCAAATAAACGGGGTTTGAAATTAATGGCAACTACTAGTCCATTAGTCTGAAACTACCCTATATACTGTTGATTGTAGAAACACTAGTCCAGTGAACTACCTGACGTCAACAAACCTTAGCACTGTCATATTTTGACTGACACGGATGAATAAACTGATTATTCAAATTACTTCTCTTTTCTGTAAGTTGTTATTATAACTTTAGTTTATATAAATTTAACCATAAATTATCATAAATTTACATAGTTTACTGTAAAAAATTTATTATTTAATGTTACCATAACGAGCTATAGCATCGCTTTCGAAAAGAGTAACACCGGTGTCATCCTCAAATGCTGGCACCTGCAATATATATTTTAATGTTCTAGCTCAGAAACGATGAATGAGTTAAAAGAGCATCCTCTCTATATTTTGTTCCTACACACTGGCAGATATCTTAAGTTTGTAAAATAGTGTTGAAAGTTACATGGGCACTGATTTCAGGGTCCTGTGCTAAGGATAGCCAAATGTTTAATGTTGGCTGAGCAGCCTTGCACGGCAAATGACCCAGGTCATACCATTAAACCAAATTGTCAGAAAACATAAATGGGGTCAGAAGACATAAATGGTCTGTTCGACAAAGGCCATTACAATCCGTACATAGCTGAACAACAGTTTCCATTACAAAATATTACAGTCACACACCCATGAAAACATTACCTAGTAGTAGTAGTGATTGGCTATTTACGAAGTGCAACTATGTCAATGGAAATAAGAAACCATTCCAAATGCTTTTTTAGTTACAGTTATGGCCCGAAGTTACCGCGTGCGTGTGCAACAAACAGCTCGTTGGAAATAATAGTTAATACATTCTAAATTTCTCAAATGTCAAACGTTAGGTTAGTCGTTCTCAGTAAAGAATCGTAAAGATTGCCGTTTCTTGCCCTTAATATAAATAATCATACATTTGGGTTAGGGTATTGCAGCGAATGCCACTAAATGTGAGCGATTGCACAACAGGTTGGTAAACATTTTTGTAGACGTGTCACGTGTCAAACCGGCCACTGTGCTACCGGTACTGCTAGTGCTACTGCTAGTAAACATACCAACAGTAATGCAAATGACAATGTGTCGTTTGTTCACCAAACTAATCTGAAAATTGCAAGCCAACATACCTTTCCTAGAGGAAACTTTTTAAGAAACGCATCTGTGTTGTTTGTGTCTCCAAATTTGAAGTCTTTTGCCAATTCGACTTTAGCACCGCTGTACTGTGCGGCGATGAGGATTTTGTATGCACGGAAATTTTCCGGGTATGTATACAGAGTCTGAAACAAGAAGTCAAAGTACTCACAAAAATACATAAACATAAAACTATATTAACAAATACGAATTTGAAATACTTATTCTGCAGCCAGCACAATTAATGCCATACAAAAACTCCGGATTAATTCATTCACGTTAGATTAGTCTTGCCAATAAAATAGCTTACACCGGCAGCCATCACGAACGTGGAAAGGGAGATGCGCGGCGCAGCGAAATCTCTATACCTGCGCAACTCCCTGGTTAGTCCCATTAAATAAATTGGAGGGGTGCATGCATACATGGGCCACATTTAATACACTGAAACGCGAAAAATTAACACCATAGGAAGACACTATAAACAATATCATCAAAACTTAAATTTTTCTCACCAATGCATTTTAATTATCAGCTATTGGACTATCACATAGAAAAAAAGTATATATTGTATAATGCAACGCCACATGCGAGAGCCACCTTTGCTGACTGTGTCATTCTAGGAGGAGTCCCCGGATGTAAAATAACTACGTTGAAGACCGTAGTAATTGTTTCTATGCGTTTTTAGTCTTTATTGATAATATTTAGAAAAATGGTAAGCGGTGAACACTAGTTATTAATTGCACTGTTTTTGAGCGTGTGTGCGAATGGTCCTTAATGTGTGTTGCCGAGGAATTCTTGATGTTTCTCCGTTTAGCGGTTCGGATTCACTCTACTCTAGTCTCTAGAGCCCACCCTCCCACTGACTCTCCAGCCTAAATTCATCTCGACCCTACTCCCTAGTCCTGCATTTATGATCAGGCATAAGCTAATTTGCAGTCGCTTAACCACCTTTTTCTCATTAGTAATGATTAATCTTATCTCTTAAGGGTGTTAACATACCCAAATTATTTGGCGTTAAAACTATAGTATAAAATTCATCATGAACATTGTCAGGTGAACCGTGCGTGACGGTGAAGATTGACATTCCCTCTTTGCTCTTGCTTGTCTTGATGAACACAGGCACTTGGAGCGTTTCAATAAAATATAATGCTAAATAAATACGAAATCTATTTACTACCAAAGTCTTAATGTTTCTATATACTCTCTTTCACCTATTATTGCCGACAATTTGAATTTCTTGCAAATGCCGTCAAAATGCTCATCTGCAACAAACGCTGGCTGTCGCTGCACACTGACACATAAACATATCAGAGTGGCTATATGCCTGGCAGCCGGGCACGGTCTTCGATTTCCTAAGTGCGCGGCAGTTTTTAATTTTCAGCGTTATTTCAAGTAAACAAGGGTTAGGGTTAGGAACTGCCGGGAATTTAGGAAATTGAAGACTGCCCGGCTGCCGGGCATATAGCCACAGCATAAATATATATAGCAGGTAGAAAAGCGTGCTGCCAAAATTCGCTCGACGCTCGCTTGATTTCACACGAATACAACATGAATATTCAACCATTCTACTCCATCTTTGTTTCTATTTGAATGACAGTGATCACTTCTTATAAAAACATACTATCTGTGTTCGTAACCGAGCTGTGTCACGCGAAATCACACAAAGCCTGACGAAATTCTCGCGTTCGCTCCCGTTGCGCAGTTTATGTAAATGGCTGTCAGAATCAGGAAACACCCACCGGCGCTCTTCGTGACCTCATTTTTGCGCCGCAACGCTGCAACGTTTTTGCAACAATCCACTGGCGGCTTTGACGAGGCTCGTACGGGAGTTCGAAAGCAGCGTGGTAGTTTCCGAAAATGCAGTGCGCCGCCTATAGCCCTGTACTTGCAGCCATTTACATAAACTGCGTAACGGTAGCGAACGCGAGAATTTCTTCAGGCTTTGTGTGATTTTGCGTGACACAGCTCGGTTACGAACGCAGACAGTATGTTTTTATAACAAGTGAACAGTTCTTCAAATAGAAACAAAAAGGAGTAGAATGGTTGAATATTTGTGTTGTATTCGTGTGAAATCAAGCGAGCGTCGAGCGAATTTTGGCAGCACGCTTTCCTACCTGCTATATATTTATGCATCAATGTGCAGCGGCAGCCAGCGTTTGTTGCAGATGAGCATTTGGACGGCATTTGCAGGAAATTGTTGGAAATAATAGGTGAAAGAGAGTATAGAAACATTAAGACTTTGGTAGTAAATAGATTTCGTATTTATTGAGCATTATATTTTATTGAAACAATGCAAGTGCCTGTGTTGATGAATTCTCTTTCCCTTCGATATAATCCCTTGCACTTTGAAGAATATTATTTACGAGGTTACATTTTTACAAATTACAGGTTCAATTATTAATTTTCATTGGCATTGCTATTGCATCGGATCGATTATGCCTAGATGAGTAGATGGTTCGAAGTAATATAAGCTTAGTAACATACAAGGAAAGTGTCCCAGCTCAATAAATTATGGTAGTTTTGTAAAGTTACTTCACAAGTATTGTTGGAATCTTGCAGATTGGTTGCTGTGCAACGACATTACCAAAAATAGTGAAATATAGTCTCACCTGATAGCGAACATGTTAGTGTTTTACCAAAAATAAACGACCAAAGAATTTCTAATTATTGCATATTTTGTTGAAAGTAACAATGTGTGCGTGTTCTACTTAAGACATGTCAGCCTTACTGTAAAAACTTGCTGTTATGCAAACACTACCAGTAAGTATCGTATTGTTAAAAAAAATATGAGACTAATCGGGAACATTGCTTGAATTCCTTACTTCAAATTAATGATTTCACATGTTTTTCCAAGCGTTCTCTTATTTTCTTAACAGTTCTGATACATACTGTTACTCCTTGTTGAATACCACGTGTATACAATAAGGTTTATGTCGTAGAACACTCGCACGTCATTATTTTCGCCAATATGTTTACATTATGTCAACATCATTATAGCACATCATTCTCTCATCTCATGAGATGCTGTAGTCGACTGGTGCCCTATCTCTACGCTGTTACTAGGTTTGTCTACATGTCGACATAGAGTACCAGTCTTGAACAATTTACGTTGCGTAAACAGGTGCACTTGTTTTATGCGTGCATTTTCATGTTTTATTTTCACAAATCTCAATAATGCAGGTGCAACTTTGCTGTTCATTTACTGTTTTAATGCTAGAACACCACAAAGTTGTGGTAATATTTATGCTGGAGCAATCGGTATTGTGTCTGTTAGCATGTTAGACATAATTTATTTACATATATATGCAGTGTTTCCTGTGCATTGACACGAGCGAGGCGGCCCGCCTCGCTCAAATTCTCACCTGCCACACAGAAATTTGTCCAAAACACTGCCTCGCTGACGAAACCTTTGACAATTTGAAAAGGAGATTCAAGAGTCTCATACAATGTGTTCAGAATAGCTTAGTTAGAATGCACCAAATTGCACCATTTTTTCACAAATTTCCTGGGGGGAGCCTGCCCTCGGACCCCCTAGCTTGGCTAGCATATGCGCTGCTCGCTTTGCTAGGACCTCGAAATGCACAAACATCACGAAAAACATTTACCACCTCACAGACCTTTTTGGCCACGGGAAACTGCATATGTATTAATATTTCAGTTAATTTGAGGGATAATAATTTTTATGCACCTATGAAAGAATAATGTAGACATGAGTTATCTCTCTTAGATTTAGAAAAGATAAACTGAGGTCATGCATGCATTAATAAGATGACAGATCAAGACACATTGCAGCTACAACGACTAACCGTTTCGTAACATTTGACGACATTAAAAAAAATTGTTTCCAGTGAGCTGTTGCATGATAACATCCAGTGACAACCGTAATGACAAAAACATTAGGAATCGTTGATAATTTCCAGCAGCATAGTTGCGCGGCGCTTCAGAAAGGTGGGCGCTATACAGTAAAAACCCGCGTATAAGAACATAGATTTTAAGAACATGTTAGGCTAAAATTTCCCATTTAGACCCCTTTACATAAGAACCTGTTTTAGGCTAAGATTTTAAAGTAGGTTCTTAATTTTCCATTTTTTTCCCCAATTTTTTTCTCCTCCATTTTTTGGCATGTTGTTTTATTTCCTTGGATACATACTGTATCATACAGTATGGTATGCACTGAAAAACTTACACTGTAGCCAATCATGGGTATTAATTAGCAAAAATTGCAGTCCTTGTAAGAAAATTTTAACACAATTTGAATCAAGTATAAGCTTATACATATTAAAAGTAGAAACAATTAAGAACCTATTTAAGAACCTTTTGAGCCTAATTTTTCAGTAAGCACCATTTATATAAGAACCTATTGAGGCTAACTTGGAAAAATCTATGTTCTTATACGCGGGTTTTTACTGTATAACAACCACTGCTACTTTAATACTACACTGGGAGAGCCAAGTGGAAATGTGAAATTTCTCTGGTGTGACTGTGTGACAAGTGAGGAAACTAGATGATCTTTGGAAGTCAGAATTCATGACGCTTAAATTTCTATAAATAGTCTATTTATGTGTAGGATTACGATAAGGATACGAGTAGTGATCTTGGGCTTGTATTAAATGTCAGAAATAAGAGGAATAGAATGCAGAGTAATCAGATTTATATCGTTGAATGCTTTGAAGTTAGGCTGGTGAGGCATAAGCAGCAATGCAAATAGATATTACTAGCCTTTCAATGGCAGGTACTGAAAATGAAAACATTAATTAGGCAATCCACGCTGGTCTGGCTGTAGTAAGGACACTGTTCACACACTTTGTCTATCATTTATGATATCGAATTCAATGATTCTCAGATGCAGGCAGAAATGTCCTTTCTTGGTGCAAAGCATCACTGGCACTAAGTACTGGTGATTGTTATATAGTGCCCACCCTTCATAAATGGCTAATCACAGCTGTAGATCATGTTTTCGATGGCACATGACAGCAACAGTTCGTAACCAAATTGAGCTGCTCAGGTGTCTGCAGGTTACAATAGCGTCTGTTGAACAAACAATTTTTTGTGTTCAATGAAATAGATTTTATAAGATCTGGGCCATTATTTTGCAAGGCTGTCCAGCTAAAAGAAAACCTATGAATATCCTTAGCAATGGACTTTGAAAACAATGGTAAGCCCATGTAACGTTCGACAGCCTCAAATTTACAAACTTTAAATCTCTGTCATTGTGTAGTGAGAAGATAGGCAAACTTTGACCTAAATTGATCGATAACACCTGCAATGTGGGTGGGAGCAGTCACTGCAACTTTGTCACTGAACGTTACAATTGGTCGTTGCTACTGTCGTGTATTTTGGCCTTGACAGCTTATCCAATTGTGATCAGGTATCGATCAGTTGAGTGTAACCAATAATTAGTTGTTTAAATTCCAGCCGGTTCCTGTCACCAGTAGCTAATACTATTTATTATGAGCTTGATTTTAGTTATGAATCATGAAAATTGAATGTGTGTATATTGCAGTTGTACTGACACTTGACACTGTACTGTATACATCATATTACGTAAAGCAAAGTGTTTTTAATATTGAACTATGCAAGGTAATGAGAACGTAGCAGCTGGCTGACAGTGACACATTGTTTTCATTATGGGCAGTACTGGGTTGATATTTTTACGTGCAGTTAGACTTGTTAAGCAAAGAGTATTGCTTGAGCTGGTTCTTGCTGATGAGG